GTTGAATGTCGTCAGCATAAAAATAAAAACTGACACTCGGGTGTTGTCTGATTATGTCTGACAATGGGTAAATATACAAGGAAAATAGCTGCGGTCCAACACAGGAACCTTGAGGTAAACCATAGGGAAGCAATCTGGAACCTGTTTAACATGATAAACAAGTAAAAAGTGGAACTTACTCCCCAAAAAATGAAGAAAAGCTTGTTACATATTTGTACACAAAGCTGTAGAGACACTATTGTTCTGCCTTGAATGACATCACACTTTGACTCATGAATATGGAAATGTTCATTAGCATAAAAACTAAAATGTTGAAATTTCTCCCTTTTATTGCTACAAAGGTGAAAGTCATAGTAACATAATTATGGTTAGAAAGCTGTTTTAAATGTATTGAAGTCATAAAAATCCTATTGCATGTTTCCTTTATATTCTAACGGTAACCTAATAATAAGAGAAAGTATTCTGAAGACCGTCTCCTCTCCCTCATTCAGTGCAAAATGCTTGTTCACATAATTTGAAAAATGGGCCATGTTATGTCATTTAGAATGCGAGCCATACATTGTACTTGAGTGTTCAGCTAGGGAACCATTTAGTTATTTTCTCATTTCTTGTGCGCATGACAACATGCATAATATTGTGCATAAAGCATGATAAAGTACACTACAACAAGTTTTATAACACTTGTAACGGTCAATTTTATTGTACACTAGGAAATTAGTGCTGTAATTGTGTTTACTTGGCAAGTTGCTGTAACTCTTTCACATCTATTCAATTGATGTAAAAGTTTGGGGTGGCGGTGGGTGTGGGAGCCTCCCCCCACACGTTTCAAAGTGTAGCCCCCACCCCCTTTTTTTCCTGGTCGCAAATAAAAAGTGTAGGTCAAATGTTATAAAGATTCAGGCTGATTCATTTACTGTCACTGACTGCATGATTGGATTGAGTTGAAGATTGAATCAAATTGAATATCAAATGAATAATTTGCTCATGGGACAGCACTTATTTACTGTGGAAACAGGATGTAGTTGAAATAAGAAATACTTAAGAAAGAACAAATGACGATGAAATAAAGATAACTACATGGATGAGTAACAACACCTTGAAACAATGGTGTTATTGCACATCGTTTCTTCTCAGTATTCAGTTTGCACATTGTAACTGTTCTGATGTCATCAAACCTGAAATAATGCGTACATGTAATGTAAACAGAATGTGTCATACAAGTACATACATAAAATGTATACTGAAATTTATTATATCCTGAAAGATGGGGTTTTACAGGAAAGGCTATATTTCGTGATCATTTTCTGTTCTGACAAAATATTCAGAACTTAATTGGCCATTGTCTAATAGTCAGGGTGACCGAAAGGTTATGGCCAAATTCTGCTAAATGCAATTCAAAAATCTTCCAAATTCCCCCGAATTACTTGAAATATACTATAAATACTTAAAATTACATGCAGATGTTGTAGTATTGCCTTAATTAAGTTTTCAAATTACATTATTAACAACCTATAGTCACATAAAGATGTTGTGAAATTTTGTAAGTCTCGCCAAAATGCAGTTGCGTCACGACAAACTCCATTTCCCAGTGAACCAAGGGTTGTTTGCAAAGATTGAAACTTTCTTATACAAATGTAAGATTTTTTTTTTAATTTGCTATCTTTTTTGTCAAATATCCATTTTTGCAGAATTCTGCCAGATATCTGCAAAAAAATCTTCTGTTCTGTCAAACTTGTTTTTTAACAAAAAATCTGTCAAAGTTAGCCAAATATCGGCTAAAACAGTCACCCTGCTAATAGCTGTCTGCCCGATCACTCTGCATTTGTAACTCAACAAACCTGATCGAATCACTAGTTAAGAATTGTAATTTATCCCTCCTGCTATCTGAACAGTCAAATATGGTTTTAAAAAAATCAATCCTCTTCCCTTGCCGTGCCTTTTTGCACAGGCTAGTTACCAGTCAGATCATATTTTTAGTATGCACTGTGACTAGCAATATTCAGTCAACAGACAAAAGCAGGCAAATGGTGGCACAGCTGTTTTATCAATCACCCACTGTCAAAGCATAGTTTGAATCAAGTTACATGAACTGTCACAGCCAGTCAATCCTGCTTTATGTAGGCAGCTGAGCACTTAAGAGTCATTTCGTGTAAATACTTCATATAAAGTGTCCACGCTCAAAAATCGACTTGGGAAGCAAGTTACCAAAATGCTCGTTGCCATGGTAACAGGCCATTATGTGTTTTGGCAATTTTGAGGCTGCAAAAATTCAATTTTCGCGTCATTTTCAAAGGTTATCAAGCCAAAATGCGAAGTAATGTCACAAAAGTAACTATAAGTATCATCGTTACCCTTACAAGAAAAAAAAAAAACTTCTGAAAAATCACCTTTATGTTATTTTTAGGCCCTACAATACAGCATGTTTTTACAACTAACAAAATTGCATTTTTACCCCATTTTTAACCCTCCAAAATAGCACTTGCCAGGGCACTCAGAATAATTTCCCTTCGGCTATGGTTAGTTCAGACATTGGTCTTTTCATATCTGGTGAGAAAATCTTGGGTTATTGTATATCCTTTGTGCAGTAGCGCTACAAAAATGGTAATTTTCACAAAAACCTTAAAAAATGTATATTTTCAGTTTTTACCCCTCAGCCGAGAGGCTCGAGGGGCATTGTCGTTGCCTAGGGCGTCCGTCCGTCCGTTGGGCCGTTCTGACCATACCACCCTTGTGGGGTGATGTTCCTTTCAGGACACATAACCCGTCTATTTTCACAATAGAAAAACATCTCCCCAGAAGAGAATCTTTAGAAAAAGGGATAATGGGAACACAATGCTATCACCCCACAATTCCGTCTGGCTGGAACGTCCGTCCATCCGGCCGTCCGTCCGTCCGGGCAGCTTAGTTTCCGGATGATAACTGGAGTTAGAAATGTTGTTTGGGGTTGTAACTTTGGTAGGGGGTTGCCCTTAGGAGTAGGCAAGTTGGGATTGGTTTTGAGGTCAAAGGTCAAGGTCACGGTGGTGAGTTAAAGGTAAATGGTTTCCGGATGATAACTTGAGTTAGAAATTAGATTTTGGTGTCTAACTTTGGTGGGGGGTTTCCCCTTTGGTACAGGCAAGTTGGGATTGGTTTTGGGGTCAAAAGGTCAAAGGTCAAGGTTACCGTGGTGAGTTGTTAAAGGTATTGTTTCCGGATGATAATTTGAGTTAGAAATGAAATTTTGGTGTCTAACTTCGGTAGGTACAGGCAAAACCATTGGTACAGGCATGTTGGGACTGGTTCTAGGGTCAAAGGTCACCATGTTGAGTTAATGGTTTCCGGATGATGACTTGACTCTGGCTGAGGGGTTTCAACAGCAACGCTATTATTTTTTTCCTTTGTTTTGAGTAATAGTTTAATTGGTATTGTTCATGAATCTTAGACATTTTCACAAACAGAATCTCACTGTGTATCATTTTTTTAGGCCAGTGGATGAATAGTAGGTCATGTAGTCCCCCACACACACCTGGCTAGGCTCCGCCCACTCCCCCTTTGCCACCGAATTTAGATATTGTATGTTGCATAACGAAACAAATGTAAATAAATAATTTGCAAGTGAACACTTTAGGAATTACAAAGACTTCCTTTACACAGCCCCCTTCCTCCACCTCGGGGCATTGCTTGGGGTTCAGGGTGGGGTGTGCCCACCCACCAATAACTTGGCTTTGTCAGTAAAATCAATGTCACATGGGCAAAAATCAAGTGTTTGCTCGCCGCAATGAATAATAATGGCCATATCCATTTTCCTCTGATTAAAGTGCATCCATTATTCAAATGACTTCCAGTCCTCCTCTCCCAGCTAGGCCCCACCCTTTCCCCTGACACCAATCCAGATCTTGATTTCTACATATATTTGCCTGAATTAAATTGTAAATACTAGATATCAATTTGCAAGTGAACCTTTTACAATCTACACAAACAGCCGTCTCACAGCTAGCCCCTGCCACCCCCACTCCCAATGCTCATAAGAGAACCCCGCCCTCTCCCCCAACAAGTCAACAAGTACAATTTTGTTCAGATTACATACATGTGCATATGCAGGCACCAGACTATTCCTCATTTGCATACATGTTCAAAAATCTTGCACATGTAAATGATCCAATACCAGGGTGAGAGAGCAGGTAGTTATGGGCATGTACTGTTCGACAACCTTGGGACGAGGTTGCGCTATCACAGTATTCCACATTTCCATGATATAGCTAGCACTGTGATACCCTATCACAGTATTCCACATTTCCACAATAGCCTATCACTGAATGCTACTTTTCCATGATAGGCTATCACGGCATTCCACGTTTCCACAATAGCCATCACGAAATTCCACGTTTCCACGATAGCTCATCGCTGTATTCCACGTTTACACACGATAGCCTTTCATGAGATTCCACGTTTCAACGATAGCCTATCACGGAATTCCACGTTTCCGCGATAGCTTATCACGGAATTCCACGTTTCTGAAATATCACATAATTCCACGTTTCCATGATAGGCTATCACAGTATTCCATGTTTCTAAGTTCCTTTATCTCAGTATTCAATGTTTACAAGATATTTCATCTCGGTATTCCATTTTTCCAAGATATTTTATCTCAGTAACGCGGATGGTCATATACGCTTCTGTACATATGCAACGTGCATGTAAAAAGACTTTTTGGCATCTACGCATTTAGTCTGCTTCCTATTCCTAGTCCTCTGTTGGGGGCTAAGCCGCTGTGGACCTGCTGCCGTTGTAGCATGAATTTAGGTTTTATGAAATACGGACTCTTTGGTGGTATTGCGCATGCTCATGCATAGATAATTAGGAGAGGGACCGGTCACGTGAGGGGGTTTAACCAATAAAAGGGAGAAAGAGTCCGATTTTCATAAGAGTCCGATTTTCATATGACACCGTATTCTGACTAGGGGCCGTTTTTGAAACTTCGGCTTCGGCTGTCATTGTCTCTTTCTCCATTCATGCAGATTGGCAGTGGGGCTGGACCGGCGTATACAGGACCGAAACTGGGGTTTTAGAAAACGGCTTTGCCCCATCAAGAACACATTGCAGCGCAGTGTGTACAATGGTTAGCCATTTGTGCCCACATACAGCAAATGGGTCATTGTGTGTAATAAGCCTTTGTACTGATGACGTCACAGTTTGTTTACATGTGTGCTTTCCTATGGAGCCAGTGGGGGCCCACGGTCCACTGAGCACCATAGGAACACACGTAAACAAAGTGGGACGTCATTAGTACAGAGGCTTACTGGCCCGGGCCCAGTCAGATGGTCAGACCTATATGGGTGCACGCCAAAATAGTTGGTCCCCCCCCCCCCCCCCAAAAAAAACCTTTTTTTTTCCGGCGGACAAAACATTTGGGCAAAAGTTTTTTAAAACATTTTAACTTCTGAAAAATTGGGGGAAAAAATAGAAATTGTGAGCCCCCCCCCCAAAAAACCCCCACCAAATCCTGGGTGGCCACTGACACTCCCTTCTAAGCGCAGCTAGGCCTAGGCAGCCCAATTTGATGACGTCATGGTGTTTCACAATCGACAGACGGCCGAACGTATCCGAACGACCGATTCTAGATCTTCGGTGTAAGCAAAGATTTTAGAGAGAGAATACAGGACAGTCCGCTTAAAAAGTGAAACAGAAAGTACTTGCCCATAGGTCGCGATGGGAAGGGCGCCTCGCGCGGCAGGTAGGTAAAAACTAGATTTTCTACATGCACTCGACGTAAAAACTTAGTTAAATGCAAAGTCGCCAACCAAATTTGTTTTGGGCGAAATAATGCAAATATGTAACATTTTCATGACAAAATGCCTACAAGTGCCTCTTTATTTGTTTTAAAACAGTATAATGCTGATGAGCTTGTGTACACGTTCAGAGATAAGATTGGTAATGTGAACAACTTGTGCAATTTGCATCATGTTTACTGCTATTGTTTATTGCTCAACATGTTTTTAAAGTAAATTTGTTTTTGTTAATTAAGTGTTGAATTAGTGAACTTTATTAATATATTAAATAAATTAATTAAATTATTGATGAATGTATTATTTTTAAAAAGAAATCATGCATTTTTTATGTGTACAGCGTTTGTAATGTAATGTAAGTGAATTATTTTTATACCTTCAAATAAATTAGTTCAAATTGATTAATTAATTGAATTATCAATGCATTAATTTTTTAAGAAACTATGCATGTTTTTTAAGCGTACAACTCTTGAAATGTAATGTAAAGCATTGAAATGTTAATATAACTATTTTATGAATATTAAAATTAAGTGATTAAATTGTTACATGCAATTTTTTTTAGTGAACGGCGCTTGTAATGTAATGTAGGGCATTTTCTAAGTCATATAACGTCAAAAGTTAAACAACTGAAGATCACACTCATTTTAATGAAACAAATTAAAGATTAGTTGTTGTTTTTTAAGGCCCAAAAACCTGAAGCTGGTCTCCATATCTGAACACTGAACTTCAGGAAAGTTGTAGACTTTTTCAGCAATCGCCGCCAAAGTCCTTTTTGATTGCTTGCCCCCCCCCCCAATAGCTTTAAAAGCATTACTAAATCTCAATGTTACTGTTGTCGTTGACTTTAATTCCCGTTCATTTATTCGTTCATTCATTTATTCCTTCATCGTTTTAATTCCTTTCTCCGTGTGTTCGTCTTTTTAAAGTTTTGTTTTTTTGTTCACCAATGAAAATCCCGCTCTGAATTTTACACCCAATGTCCTACTACACGTGATAATTCACTGTAGCGTCATGCACGGTCACCTACCTGCCGTAAGTGGCGCCCTTCCCTATTTTGATGAAGTCATCGTGTTTCACAGATCACCGTGCAAACTAAATTCCCAGTGTCCTATCTTCCCCCTCTCTAATACTGAACTCGATCTTTGATGTACGTACGCGGTCCGGATCTGGTCAAAGCTAGTTGCACACCGTCAACGATGTGACTTTCTAATTCAACTTCAAGCAATAATTTTCTTCACGTCAAGTCGTAGTCTACATGTTGAATGTATGTAAGTGCATTTATTTGTGTAGTTGTACGGTCTATATTTATAACTAACACTAGGCGCCTAGTAGTAGTAAGTAGTAGGTACTCCTAGAACTATGAGGCTCCACGTAGTGGAGCCTCATAGGTTCAGAAGCCCGCAAAATTGTTGTCAGCACAAAACACTAATTAAGTACAAAAACGTCCATCCCAAGCAGGCCGTTTTCCACAGAACCGCTGCACAGTTTGCCCCTAAACTCCATACAATACCTCATGACATACTCACGTTATGTGCACCCAACAAACATCGGTGGATTCTGTCTGTTTTTCGGCAAAAATGATGAAAAATATGCCCTTTCCGCACTGAGCCAACCTAACACTTGAAACGAGCACGCGTGCAGAATGATCGCAGTTATTTTCGGTTCGATCGCTCGGAGCGCGCCGCGGGGGGTACGTACTTGCACTTGTACGCATGTGCATACTATCGTTCCGCTCCTACACCATACCCCCCGCGGCGCGCTCCGAGCGATCGAACCGAAAATAACTGCGATCATTCTGCACGCGTGCTCGTTTCAAGTGTTAGGTTGGCTCAGTGCAGAAAGGGCATATTTTTCATCATTTTTGCCGAAAAACAGACAGAATCCACCGATGTTTGTTGGGTGCACATAACGTGAGTATGTCATGAGGTATTGTATGGAGTTTAGGGGCAAACTGTGCAGCGGTTCTGTGGAAAACGGCCTGCTTGGGATGGACGTTTTTGTACTTAATTAGTGTTTTGTGCTGACAACAATTTTGCGGGCTTCTGAACCTATGAGGCTCCACTACGTGGAGCCTCATAGTTCTAGGAGTAAGTAGTAGGCCTATTTCACAACCTAGGCTACTCCTAGAACTATGAGGCTCCGCGTGAGCGGAGCCTCATAGATCAAGACGCCCGCAAAATTGCCTGCAGCACAAAACACTAATAGTAATAAAGTACAAAAACGTCCAGAGTAATTGCAGAATACCCCGCCACTCGGAAATACACCCCTAAAATCACTGGCTACGAGGTTGGAATCACTGCAAAAGAAACAATTCAAGTCCATTGCCAGCTACGCGGATACTGAGTGGGGGTCCATTATTTGAGAACGAAGCAACACAAAATGAATGGGAGTTGCTGAAAAATATTCTAAGTCCAAACCAACCACCCTGTTGGCGGCTACGAGGCTACGGAGTGGGAGTCCCCTTGAGTATGCTTGAAAACGAAGCAACACAAAAGGAATGGGAGTTGCTGAAAAAAGTGTAAGTCCAAACCAACTACCCCGTTGGCGGCTATGCGGTCACGAAGTGGGAGTGCAATGGAGCATGACGCATAGTACATACAAGTAGCGCTGAGAATGTTTATTGAGGTCAATCAGCCGTGACCTTGTAGCCGGCTACTACTCCTAGAACTATGAGGCTCCACGTAGTGGAGCCTCATAGAGTCAGAAGCCCGCAAAATTGTTGTCAACACAAAACACTAATTAAGTACAAAAACGTCCATTCCAAATAAGCTATTTCCCACAGAACCGGTGCACAGTTTGCCCCTAAACTCCGTACAATACCTCATGACATACTCACGTTATGTGCACCCAACAAACATCGGTGGATTCTGTCTGTTTTTAGGCCAAAATGATGAAAAATATGCCCTTTCCGCACTGAGCCAACCTAACACTTGAAGCGAGCACGCGCGCTGATATCGCAGTCATTTTCGGGTTCGATCGCTCGGAGCGCGCCGCGGGGGGTACGTACTTGCACTTGTACGCATGGGCATACTATCAATCCGCTCCTACACCATACCCCCCGCGGCGTGTCCGAGCATCGAACCCGAAAATGACTGCGATATCAGCGCGCGTGCTAGCTTCAAGTGTTAGGTTGGCTCAGTGCGGAAAGGGCATATTTTTCATCATTTTGGCCTAAAAACAGACAGAATCCACCGATGTTTGTTGGGTGCACATAACGTGAGTATGTCATGAGGTATTGTACGGAGTTTAGGGGCAAACTGTGCACCGGTTCTGTGGGAAATAGCTTATTTGGAATGGACGTTTTTGTACTTAATTAGTGTTTTGTGTTGACAACAATTTTGCGGGCTTCTGACTCTATGAGGCTCCACTACGTGGAGCCTCATAGTTCTAGGAGTAGCCGGCTACGAGGTGGATAGATCGAGTGGCGGGGTATTCTGCAATTGTGCCAAACGTCCATCAAAATGCAGCCATTTCACACAGAACCGCTGCACAGTTTGCCCCTATACTCCGTACTTTATCTCTTGACATACTCGCGTATCTTGTGCGGAACTAACATAGGTGGATTCTGTCGGTTTTTAGGCCGAAATGATGAAAAATATGCCCTTTCCGCATTGAGCCAACCTGACACTTGAAACGTGCACGCATATGATCCAGCGATGATTTTCAGTTCGCTCGGTGCGCGCCGCGGGAGGTACGGTACAGGCAAAATGATAGTAGGCCTATGCGCATGCATACAAGTGCAAGTACCATACCCCCGCGGCGCGCTCCGAGCGAACCGAAAAATCATCGCTGGATCATGCATGCACGTTTCAAGTGTCAGGTTGGCTCAGCGCGGAAAGGGCATATTTTTCATCATTTTAGCAAAAAAAACGACAAAATCCAACGATGTTTGTTCTGCGCATATTACGTGAGTATGTCATGAGGTGTAGGCCTAGTACAGAGTTTGGGGGCAAACTGTGCAGCGGTTCTGTGAGAAATGTCTGCATTTTGATGGACGTTTTTGTACTTAATTAGTGTTTTGTGTTGAAAACGATTTTGCGGGGTTCTTAATCTATGACTGAGGCTCCACTACGTGGAGCCTCATAGTTCTAGGAGTATTCACAACCATGTCATGACAACAGTGTATTCAAACGACAATCGTATTAAATGACTAAAAAGTACAGCCGTTTTCCTAGTTCCGGATAGCAAACATCATTCAGGCTGCTTTCAGCTCAATTACTCCACGAATTCAAGTGACATTGGTTCAGCAGTTTACCTTGAGTGATGGAGATACTACATAATAATCTTCCAAATTTAGGCTCTTTTTATTTTGACTTTACGACGTCAAAAGTACCGATGTCACTTTTCCTTGTTCCGGATCGGTTCAATCAGTTCGGAATCGATCAAAAACTGCTTCGCGCAAAAAAGAATCACGCGAGAAAATCGTTTTTTTTTTCAGCCAGAACTTACTGAATCAATCATATTTTCTGATAAAGTGTTATTTCATTTTCCCAAAATAGTTCATTCAAGACAAGAGAATTCCACCAAATTTAAAAAAAGAGAAAAACGTAAATTATTTTGAAACGTTTGTCTGCAGCGTAACGGCACGTACTCATGCACGGACCGAAAACATTTGACACGGCACACACAATACGTCACACAAAATCGAGTAATGCGCGTGTAGTTGGGTCGTAAGGGACGAATAAGCACATGCTCTATCTGGAACTAGTCAAATGCATACGGTCAAATGCATACGAATTTTCAAAAATTAGAGACTGTACAACTTATTTTGATTCAACAAACAATCGATGGAAGAGTTTATACAACTGTAGTGTGTAAACAAAATATTCGAAATCACATGGTTCAAGTGATGTACCGAGAAGAAATTTTTCGTCGATTCGCAGCTCCCGCGATTTTCTACAAACAAATCTTTTCCAAACAAATCAAAGTGCGAGTCGGAAATCTGGCCGAAGTTCCTCTTCTAAAGATTTTATCGAAAAGATCTTCGTGTATCAAGAAGCTTACATTTTCCTTTTCAAAATGCACTTCGTCAGAAAAAAAATATTGGAGACTAATCCAAAAGAGGTAGGTTATTATTCGAAGCTATCCAGAACTAGGAAAATCAGGAATTAGGAAAACAACTGTAAATCCCACCACAGAAATAACCTCACGCATGGAGGTAGGAACCAAGGGCGATCGTGTAGCGTAGGGCCTGGTTCCTTTAAAGGAACAAAATCCACTTTAAAATTATTGGACCTACCAAACTGGTTGGTGACATTCTCAATAAACAGGTATAGTCGGACTCCCTATTATCGCGCCATCCCTATTATCGCTGCATGGGAAATGTCTCTTTTTGCGTTGCCAAAACTCTTTCAAGTAGCGATTTTTATCCAGTTCACCAGTCATTAAGGACGTTTTGCCGAGTTGTATAAAAAGGACGATTAAAAAATGTTGTGTCTTTCGGGACTTTTAACGATATTTAATAAATATTAACATTTTCCAAAACTTGCAAATTTTTCCTCACCGTGTCTGCTAAAAGGTACCGTTTATATTTTAACATTAATCTTTAATTGTGCTCTGTCCATGAAAGTTCCATTTTCTGGTTCCCATTCTTCAGCTGCAAATGTAAAAATTAAGTCGGGATCAAAGTAAACAAAGTTGGGATCATTATAAAAACCACTTCCCGCATACCGCGATAATAGGGAGTCCACCTCCATTTGCACACTCCGCGCATGTCTATTTTCACAGGCATCGTACACGGAATAAACCACACCACCGTTGGATTTTTTTATATCAATTTGAAAAGGAAGAGTTATACTACACAAAAGACAGGACAATTCGGGAAGGTTAGTGGGCAATCTGTATTCTGAATGAGAAACGTGACAAGTACCACGATAATATGGCAACCCATCCTATGTCAGAGATAGAGGGCAGGATTTTGATTTTTTGAGGGAAATTATGGGGTAAAACAACGATGACAGCTCGCGACAACACGCGTCCCGAAAATAAAGATGGCGATCACCGCCCGATGTACCGTGAGCACACATGGCGCGCTGAATCGCAAGGCATAAACCGCGCAGGAAAATCGTGATTTCTACCCCAAGAATCTGTTCAAAATTGCAAAACGGGTGTCATTTGAATTGAGAAAAGTCTGCTTTTGATTGTAAAAGTGATTTTTGAGCAATAAAAACCATTTTGACTCTAATTTGATCAAAACAAAACAGGGGCTTTACAAGTTTACACTTCCCGATCGCCGAACTAAGGAAGAGGAGTTTAGCACGCAAATCCC